AATAATAATAATTAAATAATAATAAATTCAAAACAAAATGAAAGTTTTCATGAAACATGAAAGATGGCATTAACTCAATTCATGAAAATATTCGTTTAATAACAGTTTTACCTTAAAGGATCGGAATTATAAAAAAATACATAACATAAAATCACGCCATTTATCCCCGAAGGGGTAGGCAGAGGTGGACATTACGGCACTTAATGCCACTGTACAATATTACACCCATTTTCACTATTTGTTATGAATCCCATGTAATAGGGGGTGAGCCTATTGCCATAGGTATACCGGGCACATTTCCAGACTCCGTGCTACTACTGAGTTTTTTTAAAAACCCAGTAATACTTTGCCCGACCCAGGAATCGAACCCGAGACCCCTTGCCCGGCCGTCATCATATCATTTCATTTATTTTAAATATCCGCAATAATATATTGCCAACGAGGCAGAATACCAAATAAATAAGCAAAAATTACGTAAATATTATTAGGCTTGGAGGATATCCGTCAACCCTTGGGGTGGTTAGGAGGTATTCTACCTATGTCGTTGTACAATGAAGGGAATGGAAAGAGAGTATGTATTTTTGGTAGGTTGGTTAGTTGGTAGGTAGGTATGTAGGTAGGTAGGTAGATAGGTAGATAGGTAGGTTGGTAGATAGGTAGGTAGGTAGGTAGGTACGTACCGCATAACATTTTTAGTGCCAGGCTTCGGGAACCGATGCAAAGTGATACTGGGATCTTTACAAGGTGAAGATACACACATGCAACAGGTTCTAGTGTTTTCTTTACTCGAACTCATCACGACAATTAAACACAAATTCAAAGAGTCACTGTCTCAACACCGAGTCTATATCTCACAACACACACCTAATTTCACTAAAACACGGTTACGGAGGAGTAATCTCGACTCAACGTTAACGATGTATGTAGAATTAAGTGGAAAAAGTTTATTAATTACAAATAAACTTAAGTACAAGACAAAATGCTGCGCGGGAGCTGGCGGACATTTTTCTTGTAACGTCAAAAGTTAAAAAATCAGATACCGGTTTTTTTTTTTTAATGGCAACCGTATCTCCAATACCATTAGTGTTTTTTAATGCATATTCTAATTAAAATTTTGTAATTCATACCAAAACGCCAGGTACGAAATAATGGTCACATAACTACGATAAAAATAAATTACAGAGCCAATTGTTTTGGTGTATGTAAAACTAATACCTAGTAATATTTTAATCACTTGTTAAATGGCAACATTATGGAATTCATCTCTTTCTCTCTGATGTTGCTGTCTCTTACTAATTTCTATGCCCCCCTACATTACGTTCGCAGAAGTAAGTCGACAGACCCTGCAACTGACACTGTGACAGTGACAAATTTGAAGTGCCCCATTCACCATAATTATTTTATATTTTGTGAACCATGTCTTTTGATTTACATCACTGTGTCAGCCCAGCCCCATGTAACCTAGTATAAAGGCAAAAAGATCAAACAACGATGACTAGAAGGCATACTACAGAGTGGACCAGTGTTAAATTCACTTTTGAATCTTAAATAAAACATACTGGTAATACTTGAAGTATTTATTCAGCAAGTAACTTAATCTACTACTAATGCAAATTACTTTTTAAAAATGACATTGTCTGAATGTTTTCCATCTCGCCGCAAACACTCTTCCAAGCAGAATATAAAATTTTCGAAAACGCGCCGACACGTTGCTATTGATATGGCGGCCATTTTCGATTGAATATTTTCTTTTAAATTTGTAATTGGCCTCGGTTATTGGAGTGTACCTTGTCCTTAAGAAACCCCCACAAAAAGAAATCAGGTGGGGACAGGTCAGAGCTTCGTGGTGGCCACTCGATGTTACCTCTCTTCGAGATACCTTTATTGGGGAACATCTCCTTTACGACATCTTTACTAGCGTTTGATTTGTGGCAAGTTGCGTCCTGCCGGAACCAAGTCTGGGAGTTGTATTCTTGTAGCCCAGCAGAAGTTGACCTTAAGAACTCTTGCAGCATTGTCACATATGGTTTGGTATTAACTGTTACTGAAATGCCTTGAGAATTTTCAAAGAAATATGGGTCAATGAGGCCTTTAGCCGATATGGCCTCCGAAACAGTCACTTTCTGACTGTGAAGTGGCTTCTGATGGTTGCGCGAACGCTGCTCAGCGCTCCAGTAACAGCAGTTCTGTTTATTGACGGAGCCGTTAAGGTGAAAGTGGGCTTAATCCGAGAAAAGGATGTTTACGAAATTTGCAAATCTCTATAACATGGAAGTGGCAAATGCCACCCTTTTTCTATGGTCATCATGGGTAAGTTCTTGAACCAGCTGTATCTTATATGGGTGAAGCATCAAATCAAATTTCGAAATTTGGCTCAAACTGCTTCGTGAAATCCCCAAAGCCGGATTTTCTCGCACGGACTCATTAGCTTTCCGCCGTCTGTCTGTCCCTATGTATGCATGTATCACGGCTCCCCGTCCGACCAGAAACAGACCCGAGCGTACGGCGCCGAGCGGTCCGCGCGCGACACTAAGAGCCATCAGACCACCACGGATGGGGCCCAATAGGGCCGATGCCGATTCGGAGTCGCGGAGACCCTAACGGGTAACCGGGGCTCCGGCTCGACGTGCAGGAGAAGGAACGGGGTGGTTTTTAGTCAGTAAGAGTCTGACACTCCCTTCCGCCTCACCCAGGCGGGAGCAGTCATTCGATGATTTTCCCCCTTAAAAAAAAAAAAATCCTCTACAATCGCTTGCACCGTACGTGTTGCGGGGTTGGCCTTGACGTCTCATTGGTAGCGTTAAACCGGTTTTTTCAAACCTTTTCATTGTTTGATTAACTGAGTACTAGGACACTGTCGGATACTATTTACAACTGAATTTTATTCGGAACATACGCCGCACAATAATGTAAGATTTACCACCTCGAACAGTGAATGCGCGATGCTCTCCCGTAAACGGACTCCAAGCGATGCGTGGCGTGCCGCTCCTCGCTGCTCCTCGCGTCCAACTGTCTAATAAGTAATGAAAAGTGCACTTAGCACTGGCCCACCCTGTATAACTGTTGATTTTGGAGCACTGTATTAGTCAAAGTCAAAGTCAAAGCATTTATTTCAACAAAACCATAATTTGATACTTTTGAAACGTCAACAAATACAAAATAAATAATAGTCTGTCAGTCAGTCCGTCAGTGAAGCTAGGTGAAGCTAGGTGCTCATTCCAAAATGTAAATTCGAATGGAGAAGAACGAGCAAGAAACTACATTCGTTACTCTTTTTAAAGAAGTATGTTCTACAATGTGTCTGATACATATTTCAATACTGTACGCATATGTAAGAACAATGCAAAGACACGTTTGACGTATTATACTAATACCTTACTAAAATAAAAAAAATAAAAATCTTATAGTCTAACATGGTGCTCACATATGCATACTGACAATCCATAGAAATAGTGCTTCTATACAAGAAAAAGGAAACTCTTTGTTTCAATGTTTCAATAAAGAAAGAAATGCTCGATGGCATAAGGAAACTGCTATTAGCTTAAATTAAAATAATTATTCGTGATAACTGTAACTATAACTGTAACTATTCGTGTAGCTTTTGGTATTCATAAATAAATAAACAAATAAATAACAAAGGTATAATCAAAACAAATGCTTATAAATTATTAAAGTTTTTATTATAAATTATATTAACATACCTTAGGTATAATCGTGTAAACTAGGAGATACATAATTAGCTTAAGTATAATATTTTAAAGTGCTTACATAATGTGAGGTTTAATAAAATACAAAATATAACAATACTGTACATTTACAGATCTGCAGTTCCGAGGTGAGACGTGAATACCTTTCTTTAATACATTTTCAACCCAATGAATCACTGTACAAGGTGTTGATTTAACTCGTCGAGTACCGGTTTTGTAGACACAATTATAGAACAATAGGTTGCGGTTACCGGTGACCGCTTGGTGTTTGACAGTTTAAAGCCGCGTTATTTTCTAGGAGGTAACTCGGATATCGATTCTGAGTCCGAACCAATAAAAAAAATTGTAGCTAAATATTTTTCATTTTTCTGTAAAATACGGAAATCCGTAAGTGCGAACTACACGCCGCGCCGCCGTCTTGTAACTAGCTTTATAACGCGGCTTAACACACACAAACTCAAACACATAGTTGATATTATTCCTAATTCCATAAAACTCCAATAAGAAACATTGCTGTCGCTTATTCTGAAATACTGTCGAACTTAAACGATTTATTATAGCCGTATTTTTAACTATTGGCCCGAAACTTTTTCTTACATTGAACCTTCAAGACTTCTGTGACATGCCCCCGAGAAATGACACGGTTTCAAATCTACACCTTGTATAGTATAAAACAAAGTCACTTGTCCGAATCTGTTTCGCAACAGATTGTGATGCGGATTTTTTAATAGATAGGTGCACATTTTCACCAACATCTAAGCTATGTCACATATGACGGTATTTTGGTGGCGTTCAACGTCATATTGGTTGACGAACCCCCCCCCCCCCTCACGTGAACCCTAACAGTACAAGTAAGGGGTTAGTTTAGGTACTACGTTACTCTAAGTTAAGAGATGGTTTAGGGGTTGAGAGTGCATAATTAGACACTTTTTAAATAGGTCGCCTATTAAACGCAGAGGCGGATTGAACCCAGTGAGCGCCCAAGGCGAGCACTGCATAGGCGCTTCAAAATTTTTTGTCACCGTCTAAAGCCAGTTGGTCACGCACGTCTCGCGGCGTCCCGCTGTAACCTGTGCCTTTAGCCAAACGCCACTTTAGCTCTTGTCGAGAGAGTAGAAAACTAAATGTATGGGGATGACATTGACAAGTGTCAAAATTTACGTCAATACCATATAATTTAGTTTTCTACTCTACATATAGACAAGCGCTAAAGTGGCATTTGGCTACAGCTACTGGCGATCTAGGCATTTGCATAGTATGCCTTAAGGATAATACGGCTCTGGCCTACATTAACCTGGATATGATGTCCACGGCCACTTTTTAACATCGCACGGCTCGCCGTCGACAGGAGATTCACGCTCACAAATTGGAGGCCAAATGGTCCCGTACAGTTCGGTTTCAGACGCTCTTCTGTCATCTGGCACCCTTTTTTTAAGGGGGGAAAATCATCGAATGACTGCTCCCGCCCCGGTGAGGCGGGAGAGAGTGTCAGACTGTCTCCTGCACGTCGAGCCGGAGCCCCGGTTACCCGTTAGGTTCTCCGCGACTCCGAATCGGCATCAGCCCTGTTGGGTCCCTTGTCTAATTTGCCTTAGACACGGCTCTGACTAAACTTAAGCAGTCAGTACTCTAAAGTAGGTATATCACATTTCCTAGCTTTCCGTCTGTTACGTTTCGGTCTAGGTATCTTCAAATGTACATGGTCTACATGCGCCTTCAGTTCTCCACTGGTCCTAAATGTTTTCTCGCACGCATCACATTTGAACGGCCTTTCTCCTGTATGTACCTGGAATAAGGTTAATCTATTTTATTTTCATTTATAAAATGAAGCATAACATAACATCATGCCTTTTATCCCCAAAGGGGTAGGCAGAGGTGCACATTACGGAACTTAATGCCACTGTACAATGTAACACCCACTTTTCACTATTTATGTTATGAGTCCCATGTTTAGGGGGTGAGCGTATTGCCATATACCGGGCATAAATCCAGACTCCGTGCTACTACCGAGATCTTTTTAAAAAACCCAGTATTACTTTGAGGCAGTCTCATTGGCCGAGTGATCGCAAAATAAAGCAATATGTTATATTTTATTACTATCATTCGCACCTTTAGTAACAAACCGTAATAAGTAAAAAAAATCGGGATTTTGATTTTCGTCATAAAACGCATTAAAATCGTGTAACGAATACAACAGTCTAACAGAGAATTTCAATTTGCGCGCGCAGGGTGAGATAGTGGTTCGCCCATCTTGGTGAAATAGAGGTATCGTCCTCTAAAAAAATTGTGATTGTATTGAAAACATTCATATACCTATTGGTAGCTAATATTTCATTACTTACATTAACCACTAACTAGAATCATTGTAATCGTAATCGTCCTTTTGTAGTTCGTAAAAATATAAACCCAGTCATACTCGCAAAACTTTGGCCTCATTTTCCCAACAATTTAAAATTTCGCATTATTTCGGTTTATCATTAAAGATGCGATATTTAGGTATCTACTATATAAAAATAAGTCGGGTTTTCCTTCCTGACGCTATAACTCCAGAACGCACGGACCGATTTCCACGGTTTGGCATCCGTTGGAAAGATCTCGGGCTCTGTGACGTTTATAAAATATGAAACAAAAAAACAATTCTTCATCTTTTAATCCCCAAACGAAATGTTACATAAAACGAAGCCTGGAATCTGGTGGCGAAACGGAGTTACGGAACGGCTCATTAGAATTGAATATTTCTTTTTGTGATTTGTTTTTTTTTTAAGGTGGGAATATCATCGAATGACTGCTCCCGCCTGGGTGAGGCGGGAGGGAGTGTCAGACTCTTACTGACTAAAAAACCACCCCGTTCCTTCTCCTGTACGTCGAGCCGGAGCCCCGGTTACCTGATAGGTTCTCCGTGACTTGTTTTTGTGATAGGAGCCGATATTTAGTATTTTAAACGATTTTAATGAGCTCTACTTTTATCAATCAAGTCCTTTCGATTGATACCTTTATAGAGGTAGTGGTATACAAAATTGTGTACTTGCCAACTATAGTCCATCTGTTTAGGTAATTAACTAAAGGTAAACAAAAAAAACCACGTGACGCAGAGATACTTAACCTTCTATTACTTCAAATATTTCTCGTGTTTTAATTTAAACTAAATTCACTTTAACATCGTTTATTTGTCACACACACACATACAAGCACAAATGCCTAAATCGTACAAGAGCCTAGCCTATGGGTCTATTTCATTATCATGTTTAAATAGAAACTATTCTGAATCTGACTACGGATTTCTTTCTTGTACGGATATGTGTCTTTGGGCCAAGTTTCTTCAATATATTTGAACACATTAATTACAAACGATGAATAACCTAAACTTAAATAACTTAATAACAAAAACAAAACAAAGAAACAAGATAAATTCAACAAAATAGGAACGCGAGCGCAAACGACGAGAGAGCTGTCAATGGCGCCTGATTAACCGACTAAACGTAATACACGCTACTTTCATTGTCGCGCTACATCTTAATTGTACTCTTTAATTTGACAACATTATCTAATGCTTCGTTCTTAAAGAAAGGTTTTGGATACCTGGGATTTTAGGCTCTTTATGGTGTCTATTGTAATGAAATATTATATTATTTAATAAATGTTATTAAATTATTATGCTCAAGCAGATATATATAATATTTACTAAGAAATAAGTGAAAAGGAACAGAAACATAACATTTAATAAAGAAAACGGTCGTAAAAATGGAAACAATTTTATTTTCTTATGAAGTATTTTGAATCATGGAAATGTCAACTATAAAGAACTCTTTTTATGGTTTGTTTACAAATAGTTAACAGACGGAGTATAGTCAAATTCAATACTTTTTTGAACTGTCAAATACGACAGTTGTCTATGAATTTTGTACGAGATTGTGTATTGTGACGTCACGTTTTTGTAGCGCCAAACTGCATACTTATTTTTTTTTAAATGCTGGAAAAATACTAGAATTAAGTTGGTCATAAAAAAAATTAGTGAAAGTGTGATAATTTTTTAATATTATATTGTATTGAACAATGGAAATATTTTATTTTTGATTAAGGCAATTACCCAATTCTATTAAATTGCTTGTTTATCATTAGTGCGTACCAAATATCAGGTGGCTTACTCTTGAATCCAATTCCGATCGATCGACATTGGTATTGTGAAATTTCGTACTCTTGACTTGCAATACTAGCGCCCATTTCATTCGTATTGCGTGGATATTGAATGAACTAAATGGTATTGAGTTTGACTTTATATTCCGTATTCAAAATTCTACTTTAACAGCTACGATTGGGGTTGTATAGTTTTGACATTGGATAATTATTGAGATTTTATTGGATTGAAATTGCTTTGACATTGAGATTGGTTTCAAGAGTAAGCACCCAGATCGATCTATTATCAGGAAGGGTGTAAAGTTCAAATACTTTTGATCCAAATAATAAACAAAATACACTTACACGTAAATGTCTCGTTAGATTATGATTGAAGGCGAAAAGTTTCCCACAGAGCTGGCATGCAAACGACGCGCGCACCGGCTCGTGCTGTTTCATATGTCCGGCTAGATTCGACTTCATACTGAAAGTCTTGCTACAGTGATCGCACTGAAACCTTTTCTGTCCTGTATGTACCCACATATGACCTTCTAAAGTTGTTGTATTCTGTAAAAGATAACATTCATTTATATTTTAACTCGTCGAGTACCGGTTTTGTAGACACAATTATAGAACAATAGGTTGCGGTCACCGGTGACCGCTTGGTGTTTGACAGATTAACTAGCGAAGCCGGGACGTCGCACGGGTGCAATATGCATGTATTATACATACAAACCTTCCTTAAGAATCACTCTATCTATTAAAAAAAACCGCATCAAAATCCGTTGCGTAGTTTTAAAGATCTAAGCATACATACGGACATACAGCGAAAGCGACTTTGTTTTATACTATGTATTGACTACAATATACCTTTAAAGTTTATTATTTATTTATATATGCTTTATTGTACACATTTAAGTAGCTTAAAACAAACAATTCATGTAAATATGCGTACAATGGGCGGTCTTATCACACAATGGTGATTTCTTCCAGACAACCTTTGGATGGAAATATTTATAAGAAACCTGTTGGCTTACTCTTGATTCCAATACCGATCGATCGACATTGGTATTGCGAAATTTCGTACTCTCGAGTTGCAACACTAGCGCCCATTGCATCCGTATTGCGTGGATATTGAATGAACTAAATGGTATCGAGTTTGGTTTTATATCCCGTACTCTAAATGCTATATTAACAGCTGCGATTGTGGTTGTATAGTTTTAACATTGAATAATTATTGAGATTTTATTGGATTGAATTTGCATTGACATTGAGATTGGTTTCAAGAGTAAGCATCCAGATAAGGGGTAGTTAAGTGTACAATAAAAAATAAAAAAAGACAAAATAAAAATACCTACAATACAACCTACAATAGATATAATATACTAGCAATATATAAAAAAGAAATACATAAATAATATATAAAAATACAATAAGCTATGTGTGAGTGAGTGTGTGTATGTGTGTGTGGTTTTTGTTTATAGGACATTTGTATTTAATAATTTAAATTGGGCTGATAACTATCCCCTTTTGCATGATGCGTTAGCATGCAATTGAGTGTTATACTAGCAAATGCATATTGTAAACCGATTTGTTGTAATATGATATGTAAACAGTCGTTGGCTGACCTCCCCTAAATAAATAATAAAACATAAATTGCCCCCAGAGTCGAATTAAACTTAGAGAGCGCCCTAGAAGAGTATTCTATAGACGCCCTTACTTTTTATGGCGTTGCCACCATTCTATGGGCAGTTGGGCACGTGCGTCTCGTAGGTGCCCTTTGTAACCAGGCGCCCCATGCCCTTGCCAATTTTTCTTTAGGGATAATGTGGCTCTGGTCGACACACATCATATCCAGAACCAGAACAATTTGAGGATCACACAAAGAGTTGCCCCGTGCGTGCTCAACACGGGACACGCATAAATGAGTATAAGTCATCACTAATTAGGATATATGTACGCATGAGTGAGTATACGTAACCATAAATGAGTATGAGTCATCACAAGTTATGATATATGTACGCATGAATGAGTATACGTAACCGTAAGTGAGTTTGAGTCATTACAAGTTAGGATATGTACGCATGGGTGAGTATACGTAACCACAAGTGAGTATGTGTAATCACAAGTTAGTATAATGTACGCATGAGTGAGTATACGTAACCATAAGTGAGTATGAGTCATCACTAGTTAGTATAAAGTAGCCATGAGTGAATATACGTAACTATAAGTGAGTAAGAGTCATCACAAGTTAGTGTAAGTAAGCATGAGTGAGTATACGTAAACATAAGTGAGTATGTGACATCACAAGTTAGTGTAAGTACGCACGAGTGAGTATACGTAACCATAAGTGAGTATATGTCATCACAAGTTAGTGTAAGTACGCACGAGTTAGTATACGTAACCATAAGTGAGTATGTGTCATCACAAGTTAGTGTAAGTACGCATGAGTTAATATACATAATCATAAGTGAGTATGAGTTATCACAAGTTAGTGTAATGTACGCACGAGTGAGTATACGTAACCATAAGTGAGTATGTGTCATCACAAGTTAGTGTAAGTACGCATGAGTTAATATACATAATCATAAGTGAGTAAGAGTTATCACAAGTTAGTGTAATGTACGCATGAGTGAGTATACGTAACCATAAGTGAGTATGTGTCATCACAAGTTAGTGTAAGTACGCATGAGTTAATATACATAATCATAAGTGAGTAAGAGTTATCACAAGTTAGTGTAATGTACGCATGAGTGAGTATACGTAACCATAAGTGAGTATGAGACATCACAAGTTAGTATATGTACGCATGAGTAAGTATCCCGTAACCATAACTGACTATGAGTCATCACAAGTTAGTGTAAATACGCATGAGTGAGTATACATAACCATAAGTGAGTATGAGTCATCATAAGTCAGTGTAATCTGATATTATACGTACCATGAACATTTTCCCGCAATGCTCGCACATGTAGGGAGTGACCTGTGTGTTGCACTGCGCGGGAAGTAGCCCCGGGTGTGCATGGCGAAAGTGACGTGAATATGCTCGGACTCCGACGGATTCTACGCCGCACTGGTACAGACAGATACATATACTTAAGTACTGTAAAGATAAGTTATTCCTAGCACAATTCATACATCCTTTTCATCATCGTACCATAAGATAATAGGAAAAAATGCCACTGCTTTATGGTGGAAATCCTATACATCCGCAAGCAGTGTTGTACCTTAAATTCTACCATTAAACCCGCTAATTCTTTGCTAGAGTTTGTGTTTCCTGAAGGGTATAACCTGGGTACCTTCAAAGCCCGACTGAATAGGTTGCTTATGTAGGCGTACTCCATCGTAGGCCGCATCATTGCTTACCACCAGGCAAGATAGAAGCCAACAACAAAAATTATTACTCTTAACGTCAAAACGACTGCAGGGATCGGGATGAATTCGGAACAGGTATAGATCAGGGTCTGGAATAACACATAGGCTACTTTTTATTACACGGGAACGCGGGCGAAGCCGTTGGTAGAAGCTAGTTTATAATATTAGTAGGCAATATCACTTACCTGTTCGCATGTGACAATTCCATTAATGAGTGGTACGTCGATATCTTCACGCCTGTGTATTCTGGTGCGACGTACAGGGACAGTGGTTCTGTCGAGTCGACGCGTCTTTATTGAGGGATCATTGCTGAGGCGGTTGCTGAAATATACATATTTAGAAATTTATTTTTTATAATAACTATCGTGAGGCATACTAAATCAACCAAAAATCGCGGGTTACTCACGTGAATATACTGAGAAAAGCTCTACTAGCTTCGAATGACAGAGGGGTTCTTCCTTATGATCAGCGTGCGCGATCACGGCGCGCAGCCTACTGTCAGTATATTCTTTAGCTTTTCTCAGTAGATAGTAGTTGATATTTATTTTTATTAATATATATGCTTTATTGTACACATTTAAGTATTACACTTAAAAAAAACAAACAACTCAAGTAAATATGCGTACAACATGCGGTCTTATAACATAATATTCTAATTGGGGTGTTTGAGGGTGTGCGTTAATTACGTTACATGTTGTATATGATGGGCTAATGTTTGTCCACTATATCGCCTGGTGATGTAAGCGATGATGCGGTCTACGATGGATCACGTCGTCCCATATAATTTTCATCATCAACAACAGAGCGGTATCCCTAAGGCAAAGTAGGCAAGTGTCTAGGGCGCCAGGGTAGAGGGGCGCTGCGTGACGGGGGTACTGCCAATCGAGTGGAGGTGGCGTCAAATAGATGATGTGCGTGCCTAGGGCGCTGTCTACGCTTTTGTTTATATCAACAACCTGTAAGAGGTTAGTCCTGGACTCCAGATGTCCTCTACAAAGGAGGTTGTAGCCTTTTCTTTGCAAGCGGGTTAAAGATCGCTAAGAGATCGATAAATTATACAATAAAAACTATAAAGGAGTGTATAATTTCTATAAAATGGTGTAAGATTTGTATAAAAAGTATAATTATGTTATAAAAATTTGTACAATGTGTATAAAGAGTGTACACTTTTTTATAAAATGTGTGCATTGTGTGCATAAAACTGTAAAAGTTGTATAAAAAGTGTATAACTAGTATACAATTTGTATAAAAAAGTGTATAACAAGTATAAAATTTGTATAAAATTACTTTAAAATAACACATATCAACTCACGGGTCATCTTCACTCTTTAAATGTTTTGAGGAGAGTCGCAGATGTTTGCTGTAAGCCTTTCTGTTCAAGAACTTGATGTCACATACTTCACAGTGCGGACCTTTTAGTGGCTGCTGAAATATACAAAATATACTACATTAACTTTTGGAATCAAATGAAATCAAATAATTTATGTTATGTCGGTCGATTATTAAATCATAGACGGATTTGTTTTACTAGATTTTATCAATATAATGAGCAGAGCGCACAACTATAACTACTACAGAGTATGACAGATAGACGGTGTCATTCTTGACAAGTGTCCTACCTTATATAATATCGTTCATCACGTTTTGGGTAAATTGTAATCACATTATTATGTCTACACCACCAAAATCTGCTCTCACGGTCGTAAGAAATATTGTTGGCTTAATTCAATAAAGATAGAAAAACAAAATAAAAACGTCATAGTAAAATACATTAAAATAACACTGCTTAAATAATTAAAAGTTTTTTTTATTTCAATTAGACCAGAAAGGGGCGTGAACGTCAACAAAAATTTAAAGTGAAGGTCTTTCTCATTCCAAGGTGTAGATTCCTATGGAGAAGATCGAGCAAGAAACTCCATAGGTTACTCTTTTTATGTATTTCTTTCTTTTTCTTTCTTTTCTTTTTTAAAAAAACGTTGCCCCACACTAGGATTTTCTCCTGTGTCGTGGGTGCGTTTACAAACATACAATATCACATACACATGACACCCAGACCCGGAACAACAATCTGTGGATCACACAAAGAGTTGTTCCGTGCGGGAATCGAACCCGCGACACGTTGCACGGCAGCCAGTTGCCCAGCCACCGCGCCAACCGTGCAGTCAAAAAGTTTTTTCAATCAGGTTCACAATACAATTTTCTTGTGTGCTTAAATAATTAAAATGATCAAACATACACATGCCCTACAAATACGGTATTTGACAACTAGTCAAATTCAATACCTTTTTCGAACTGTCAAAAATGACAGTTTTTTATGAAATTTGTACGAGATTGTGTAGGTATTGTGACGTCACGTTTTTTTAGCGTCTTAACAGTATACTTATTTCTTAAGAATTTGCTGGAAAAATACTAAAATGAAGTTGGTCATAAAATCAATTAATGAAAGTGTGATTATTTGTAAACATTTTATTGTATTGAACAGTCGAAATAATTTATTTTTAATTAGGTAAAGTACCCAATTATTGTCATCAGTCATAATCATGGAAGTACAAAATTTTGTGAATACTAGGATCATTTATTTGTATACACAGCTCCATATCTGGTCGTACAAAATCATTTTATCATAGTCTCTCTATATATGATCATCATGATGATATATATGATCTCTCTCTACATATATCATGGTCTCGGGTTCGATTCCCGGGTAGGGCTAAATAATACTACTGGGTTTTTAAAAAAAGTCTCAGTAGTAGAGTCTGGATTTGTGCCCGGTATATGGCAAAAGGCTCACCCCCTATTACATGGGACTCATAACATAAACAGTGAAGAGTGGGTGTTACATTGTACAGTGGCATAATGTGCACCTCTGCCTACCCCTTCGACGATAAAAGGCGTGGATTTGCGTAGCTTGATGTGTTCGTGTACACTTTCTGTATACAAGAAGCTGCAAGCGTTTGATACTTACATTTTTGTCGTCGAATTTATGTCTCAACCGCTTGTGAGCGCGCACTCCGTTGTCCCCGACGAAGGTATACCCGCACAGCTCACAAACACAGTCAGACATGTGTTTGAGGCGCAAGTGATTCAACAGTGTCGTTTGTTTTCTAAAAAATGCACATATATACTGAAGGGATGGTGAAGGAAAACATTGCGAAGAGAACTGGGCTTATAATTTGTAATAAATTAAGTAAAATCGCGGGTTACTCACGTGAATATACTAAGAAAAGCTCTACTAGTTTACTAGACAAAAGCTCACTCACGAGTGAGCTGCGCGACGTCGCCGCGACCGCGCACCCTGCTCATGAGGAAGAACCCCTCTGTGGTTCGAAACTAGTAGAGCTTTCCTCAGTATATTCACGTGAGTAACCTAGTTCCTAAAGAGCAGCGTGCGCTCATGAGGTAGAACCCCTTATACTTTAGTATGAGTTAATTTTGACAAACTAAATTTACTCATACTAAATTGGAGTTAGTTTAATATGTCTCACGATTTTTATTTTATTTCTAACCTTATCTGTTATTGTTCTATTGTACATACATGTTTAGTTATTATTTGATGTTGTTTTGTTCTTGTCTTTACCATTTTCAGTTTATTATTATTATTTAGTATTATTTAAATATCTGTATTTTTTTTTATTTACATAATAAACTTAGTATTTGTGTGCCTATGTGTCAAATCAATGATATTTCATTCTTTCTTTCTTGGATCGCAAAACGAAATAAATCGTAAGATTGCTGAAGGCTCTTGATGTATACAATATACTCACTCAAATTGCACCCCACACTGAGGACACATGTACTTACTGCCAGCGTGGAACTTCATATGCCCGAGTGCTACGTGCCTGAAACAACATACTACTATTACATTAAACGTAAAAATCATATATTTAAACTGTCAAACACCAAGCGGTCACCGGTGACCGCAACCTATTGTTCTATAATTGTGTCTATAATGACGGTACTCGACGAGTTAAGGGATCTTTTTTAAGTGAGGAAAATCATCGAATGTCCGTCTCACCCAGGCGGGAGGGAGTGTCAGACTCTTACTGACTAAAAACCACCCCGTTCCTTCTCCTGCACGTCGAGCCGGAGTCCCGGTCACCCGTTAGGTTCTCCGCGACTCCGAATCGGCATCGGCCCTATTGGGCCCCATCTGTGGTGGTCTGATGGCTCTTTGAGGCGCGCGCGGAACGCGACGCGCCGTACGCTCGGGTCTGTTTCTGGTCGGACGGGGAGCCACCCATGCTCGCCGTCCGCAGGCCCGCGCTTACGGTGGCCGGAGATCGTCCCGCGATCCCCGACGCCCGGTGTGTCCTTCGCGATGGCTGGGTTGCGAGGAGGCAGCGCTTCGCTACCTCACGCGTCCCGCCTCCTCCTTAGCTAGCATGACTGCTTCGCAAAAGGAGGAGACGGCATCCCAGTCCCCCTCGCTCCGCATCATGGCCTGCACTAGGCCCGGCGGCGAGAGGTCGCCATCGCCGATCACTTCCCTGAGGGCACGGCGGTGCTCAGCCCACGCAGGGCATTCTCCCACCGTGTGTTCCACCGTGTCCTCAAGGCGGTCCTCGCAGTGATATTGTGAGACAATACATTGTTGTTGCACATTGGTAAAGAGAAAAATGAGGCAGTGCAGAGCAATATTGTGATATAAATGTTGTATATTTACCTATTTCTCGTGACCAGTGGGCAGAGTTTACATATAAACTCGGAAGTATGTTGTTTCTTCATATGTGCCCGCATCTGTCTACCCAGTTTCATACGGACCTTACATATCACGCATTTTAACGGACCTGCTTTCTGGAACAAACCATTTTTTATGAATGCTGCTAGAGTCTGGCAAACGAAAGTAGAGACTGAAAAAGCCCGGCAAATTTAAAAAAATATCAGTACAGCAACCCAAAAATTAGTATGTCATACCTGGAGTAACCAGACGTGAAGACGTAACAAACAAACAAATTATTATAAAGTATCAAATTAGGTTAAATTTGCCGAGCTTTTTCAGTCTCTACTTTCGTTTGCCAGACTGTACTTCAGTAGCAGCGCGACAGTCGCCGCGTCGCGGGTCGCGAAATGCTGCTCATAAATATGAGCCTCTAGCATGGCTTGAAACTAGTCGAGTTCCTCGTCGAATTACTACGTGAGTAAGCCGAAAACATAATAATTTATTTAGTATGTCTCACGAAAGTTACAATACAATTTTTTTATGGACTAAATGTTCAGACAAGCCACCTGATGGTAAGCAATCAAGGTCGCCCATGAGAATTTACAAGTTTCTGGCTTTTCAAGAACTTCGGGATGGGTAAGATTGGAATTCCTACCTTCCCCAATCCCCCATCCTTGACTTCTTAACCCTCAAAATACCTAACTATCAGGTACCAGGTGATTAAAATTGATTTGATTGATTGATTGATTTTGTCACAAGAAAATTCATGTTTAACAATCAATCTCTGTGCGCTTCTCGCGTAGCTTCCTGCCTCGCACAGCAAAACTGTGGAATGATCTGTCGTCGGCGGTATTTCCGAACCGATACGACCTTTAAACCTTCAAGAAAAGAGCGTATTCCTTTTTAAAAGGCCGGCACCGCACCTGTGACTCCTCTGGTGTTGGGAGTGTCCATGGGCGGCGCTGATCGCTTACCACCAGGTGATTCTTCTACTAGTTTGATAAAAAAAATCTCAAAAAAGTTAACATACCTCACTATGCTTCATACTATGTCTGTCCAATTTATCCTCACTAGGGAATCCCTTATAACAGACTGTACATTTATAGGGAGCCTTCAAATATCTTGCACTATTCTTGCGCGCCATAACTTCTTCTATTAGCCGCTCTTGAGTTAGAGATTTCACTGTAAACACAGTCTCGTCTATAGGTGTAGTCGGTTTCACGTATGGCTTTTTCTGTGGTCTGTTAATTAATAAACATTTGGAAACTTTGGAAATACACAATCGGTCAAGTTACTGCGTATAGTGCTTAAGACTATGTAAAGCTAAAACTAGTCAAGCACTCTCCTCGCATCATAGAAATATTGTACAAATAAATAAATTATCGTAATATTAAACAAAATATTATATATTAAGTGTGGGAGAGCCATGCTTCGGTATGAATGGGCCGGCTCGACCGGAGTGATACCACGGCCGAGCAGAAGACCGATGTGAAACAACGTTGTGTTGTGTTTCGTCGTGTGAGTGAGGTTACCGGATGCCCAATTACCCTCCCCCCCTTTACCCAATCCCTGAATCCCCAGCGATCCTCAAATTCCTAATCCCAAAAGGCCGGTAACGCACTTGTAACGCCTCTGGTGTTCCAGGTGTCCATGGGCGACGCCGATTGCTTACCATCAGGTGATCCGTCTGCTCGTTTACCGGCTTATGCCATAAAAAAAT